GCTGACTTGAAGGTATCCAGATTCTCAAGGTGTTCCTTCATGATGTCAGCATTAATGGAGGGCTGGGGATCTCCCTCACCCATACCACCCTGTCCTGTAGCGGGCATGGGCGTCCCACGGGACTGAGGAAAGACTGACACAAAGTACCCATTTAACAGGTTGGCTTTTTCCTGGGCGTCGGTTGTCAGTTGTCCCATCTGGTTTAGCAGAGGTCCAATGTTGCCCTTGCTTTTCCTCCAGCTCCCCACATATCTGAAAAAGGATTTTTTTATTGTCCTGGATGCTCAAAGCTAGTTGGAGTTCATTTGCAGCCTTGGCTTTCCTGGTTTGCTCCCTGCAGGACCGGACCAGTGCAGAATAACCCTCCTTGGAAGTGAATCCCATCCCTCATCCTTTGTAGGCCTTTCTTCTTAGCCTCAAGAGGTCTGCTAGATCCCTGGAGAGCCAGGGGGGCTGCTGTGCCCTCTTGGTGCCTTTCCTCCGAGATGGAATCTCGCAGGGATTCCTGTTCTCCAGCTCTAATGAGAGCTAGGTACACAGGCAGCACTCATTAACTGTCCACCCTGTCTCCTCCTTCCCTCTCCCTTTGGAGGAGGAAGTAAAAGCGGAGCACCGTAGGAATGCTGTGAAACTGAGAGATCCATGTACAGTGTTACAATGCACTCTAAATATGTTACATGTGGCAGTATAAAACACAGCACACTAGAGACCTTCCTGTTTCACCCATGAGCATTTTTGTGATGCTTCTATATATTTAGCACTACAGAACATGTTTATATTTGTCTACTTTGACTTTTTAGTGCAACCAGTGCACTTGTGGTGCCGCAGATGTAACATTTGTCCATGGCCCCAGCCATCTTGTTACTCAGAGCCCTTTGAATGGAAGAATATCTTAAATCTCAGGTCATAGGATCATGGAAGAAACATCTTTCTACACATTAACTTTCTTCTACATATTTGGTGTACATGGATTAATTAGAAAACTCTTAATAGACACGCCCTGAGTTTTGATTCCTAAATACTTTCAGCAAGACTTGGTTACAGGTCATACCCAGCAACTTATTTCTTGCATTTTTAAGCTGTGCAACATTACATTTACACAGTTAAAAATTACACAAAATCAGAAAATGCAGTTGCTAAAAACTTGTTCATTTTTAATACCATGTCAGTTGAAACACATTCACGGCAATACATTAAGTTACAAATGTATTGTAAGAAAAAGAAAATAGTACTTGTATGTGACACAGCTGAGTCAGTGTTGCTGTTGAAATTAACTTTTTTGTGCTTTCTGACTCTGTGAATTTTAGCTAAGAAGTTTCCAGCATTGCATGACTCCAGTTTCTCCCTTTAATTTCAGTTAGTCAAATTGCTTTTGTCTGTGCAAGTTCCTTGACTGTGTGTGTTAGACCTCAACTCCGTGCGGAGCCCAACAACTAGGGAGAGGACGGTCTAATTACCCATGGATCCTGTTACTCATTAGCCAGAGCAGAGCAGGGAGCAAACACCAGCACACATTGCTCAAAACAGCTTTATTCAGAATGGAGAAGGCTTCAGGTGAGCTCTCTCGCCATAAGAGATGAGGAACAGTAATGAACAATAGTTTTTTCCTATATTTATCCACTTTTGTATAAAAGTGTATACTCATTAACAGTCACTCTACTTTCACTCCTGCTATGTTTTACCCATTTTTCCTCCCATCTGAAGCTCTGTCTCTGTTTACTGTTTGCTTCATTAGCATGGCATTGCCTATGCATTCATTCATTTACATGTCTTTTTGCTATGAGCGCATGTCTAAGACCTTGACTCCTTTTCTTCGGTCAATGTGCGAACTTTGACAAAAACTGGAAGCTTCTGGAGGCTTCTTCACCAGTCACCATTCACCTTTTTGCATCTGTTCATCTCAGATTCTGTTACCAATTATGTGTTGTTTTTCACATTCTAGTCTGTTTTTCTGTCTTAGGTTGTACCATCTTCTACCCTTTTTGGGGGTCCCTTTATCTTATCTCATTCTTCGCTGTAGCTGGTTCAAAGCACATAGACTTATACAGATTCACTTGCTGCTTTT